AAACCCATTTAATAGTACATGACGATTGTTTTAAGTAGTTAGCACTTAAGGTCCCGGTAGTGCAGTCGGGTTCGTTCTCGACTCACAATCGAGAATCCCGGGTTCGAATCCCGGGTGGAACAGGACACATTTCCTTTCACCTAATGCGCTGTTCACCTAGCAGTAAGTAGGTACTCAGGAGTTAGTCGGCTTGTTGTAAGGTTGCATCCTGGGCGGGGTCAATAATTCGACCTTGGGGGGGGGGGGGAGACCTCGATATTAGCCTAACGTGTAAGAATTCACTATGGCTGTCTGTCCCCCGACATAATTATTATTAAAATACTAATAGTTATCGTATTAATGACCGTGGTCACCATTTCGATAGCCTGAGCTGCCAGTTAATTAAGAGTTGTTGTTATTGGGTTAAAGGAAGCTACAGCACCTTGCTGATTATTATTATTGTTGGTTTAGGGCCCAGATGCACCCCGGGGTGCCCTTAAAGGGTACATCGCAAATTATAATGGTTAAATGAACGTCGCCGGTTGGCGGAAACAAATGTGTCTTGCAGTGAATAAACACATTGATAGATGATTGGGGAGCCCCCCAGGAGTCCCTCAGGATGACAATTAAGCACCGGCCCCACCCCACACAGAGTGCACTGGGTAGCAACGCAAAAACTCTGCCCCCTTCTAAAATGCAAAACGTCATTCAGCGGTCCCCGGCAGAGGGGAAGCCAGATAGCCAGCACGTCTGAGGGCACACCAGGCGCTCACCAAGATCCGGCACCTCTCCGCCAAACCGGCGCCGGACACACGATGATTCAGTCAGAAGACGCTCAAAATCTATCAACTCTCCTGTTGACCCCAGGTGATATATGCGCCAGACTGAGCAGGCGGCCGACATACTCCGCTCGTCGTCAACGTTGAACCAAGAGTCCCTGATTATTGTTGTTATTGGGTTAGGGGCAGCTACAGCACTGATTATGGTTGTTATTGGGTTAGGGGCAGCTACAGCACTGATTATGGTTGTTATTGGTTAAGGGGCAGCTACAGCACTGATTATGGTTGTTATTGGGTAAGGGGCAGCTACAGCACAGGACCGTATGTACCCCCCAATCATTTGATTATCCGTTGATAAGTATACATTCCCTACAGAGTGACTGTTTACTGCTAGGTGAGCAGAGGCATGAGGTGTAAGGTCGTTTTAAGCGAGCTATTGACCTCCACCAGGATGGAACCCATATCGGTTGCCTAACTGATGTGGGTTACCTGTTTACCGCAAGGCGAACAGAGGCATCAGGATGTACGGTACCCCCCTGAGGCCAAGACCAGCTACTGAGCTTCCCCAGGATGCAACCCACAACAGGTGCGTTACCCTCGGGTGCCTATTTACTGCTTGGTGAACAGACACAAACATTCGGGTCATATTGCAGAAATGGCAGTATAACAGTCACGTGATCACTGGATTGTTTCAAGCGTAGGTTAGACATACAGTACACACGAGTGTGGGTGGATATAAATAGGAGCTGCCTCGTATGAGCCAATAGGCCTTCTACAAGTTATATATTCATATATTATATGTCTAGATTTGAATATTTTTTTTTAGGCTCGTCCCCCCCTTTCGCTTAATGCGTCCCAATTATTTACAGAATCGAACAGTTCGTTAAAATTGGATGTATTAGTAAGATAAAACACCGAAATACTGACGTTTTCCGTGCATCGGCCTCAATAGGATAGGTGGGTTGCTTGGGTTGGTACGTTGTTGGTTACGGAGAACAGCTGTGTTTTATACGGAGTGGTCAGTGGAGAGAAGAGAGCGTGTTGATGGTAGCAAGTGTGGAGCATCTGGAGGTAATGCTCCAGGCGAGTGCAGTTGGGACCTCAACCATGGAAGGTCACCCATTAGTAATAATTTATCACACTGCTCCCTCCCTCTCTCTCTCTCTCTCTCTCTCTCTCTCTCTCTCTCTCTCTAAATTTTCTCTATTTCCTATTCAATTTTCATTAATAATGTTTCTTGATGCCTAGTGTATATGTGTGTGAGTGGAGGGGGGGGGGGGGAATGGGCCTAACACGAGACAAAAATGATATATTCAAAAAGCCAGTTTGACGAGAGAGGATCGTTAATGAAGGGTAAATGAGTAGGAAGCAACGATAATAGGTGCGGGAATATTCCCTTAATTAACAGGAAAGGTTAAAAATGTGGCAAGTCAAATGAACATGATACTTGGGAAGATAGCGAGGAGCCCGTGACAGCTGACTAACTCCCAGGTACCTATTTACTGCTAGGTAACAGGGGCATTCAGGGTGAAAGAACTTTGCCCATTTGTTTCTGCCTCGTGCGGGGTGTGTGTGTGTGTGTGTGTGTGTGTGTGTGTGTGTGTGTGTGTGTGTGTGTGTGTGTGTGTGTGTGTGTGTGTGTGTGTGTGTGTGTATTGTGTGCGTGTATTGTGTGCTGGTCTGTGCATTATGTGTGTGTGTCTATACATTGTACTCATCTAGTTCTGCCATCTGCGTCACTATTCCTTTTCCACCAACGTCTCGTCTCATTATCATTAACCGTGTGAGATACTGAGTTGTCTCCTGAATTTTGTGTTTACATTTTATCTTTGAGTAATATTGGAACAAAATGTTGGAAATGGGTGGCAGGGTGATAATGGGAATGGGTGGCAGGGTGGAAATAGGAAAGGTTTGAATGAAGTGAATCCATTTCCTCCCCCCCCATTCCCAAACTCGACGCACGTACAGTACCCAGTTAAGAAATATGTAATATGTATGCAAGGATACACATTTCCAATGTACAGTGAGCTAAGAGGATGAAATTGAAGGTTAGGTAAAATTTCCATAGTTTATCAAGAGTAGGATGATATGATTTATCATGATTGGATGCAGGAAGATTGTTAACCGTTGCATTAAGAGGTAGACGAGGGCCCAAGAGCTAAAGCTTATCCTACAAGAACATATAGGTGTACCACTGATCACATGAATGTATATACATATGTGAAGAAAAAGAGTCCTTTATATCGGCATGGTGTAGACAGTAACCAGATTCCAGCCAGCCAGATCCCTAGTCTGGCGCGCCACACCCCTAGTCTGGCGCGCCACACCCCTAGTCTGGCGCGCCACACCCCTAGTCTGGCGCGCCACACTTCCTGTTCTCTTAACCACACTCTTTGCCAGAGTCTCTGCCTTCAGAGGAGTTGATAATAACCTTGGATTGCCTCTGACAACACACCAAAAACCTCAACAAAACCTTATAGATCTGAAGCAACGTAAAATCTACAATAACAATTCCAGCTGTCATCATTATCATCATGCAAAAAGAGCAGCAACACATCTATTGGTCATCCAATAATATCAGACGCCTAGATGTTACAACTAGTAACATCTAGGACTAGTAAGTCTCTCTGGGATTTGCTTTACCTGCTGCTGTCGACCTGACCAAATGTGAATTTGTACACACTGCGTCACTCAGTGATGGAGTGCGAAAGATACTTGAATTCTCTTTCTTCTCAAGTATCTTCAGCTTTCTAGAGAAAGCTGTATTGCAAATATTCAAAAAATGTATTAATATTTAATTCAAAATGATCTGCTACCAGAATTTTTTTGGGCCAAATATCTCCAGTTTGTTAAATGTTGGTAATAAATGTGAGTGATTTTCACCGCCGCTGACTGGATAAGGTGTGTGTGGTGCGCACGATAAGTGAATCTAATTACGATGACCAAGCTATACACCAGAAATAAAGAGACGACGACGTTTCGGTCCATCCTGGACCATCATCACAATCGACTTGATAATGGTCCAGTACGGACCGAAACGTCGACGTCGTCTCCTCATCTTCTGGTGTGAGGTTTGATCATATCTTCAGTCACGTTATTGTGACTCATCGTAAGCAAATCAAATTATGAAACTACTTAGCTTAGGGACTGTACTTGTGGTCGTTCTCAAGTCCATTGTTGATAAAATATACATTGAACTATGTAACTAGCTTATCAACACTAACTTGCTTAGCTAAATGAATTAGAGTATTCACAGGATGGGTATAGGGCACATAATAAATGAATTAAAGTAATTAAAAACTTACCTTCTTCCCATTGAAGGGAAGGGAACTATCAGGGGAAAGCGCCAAGCCATTAGACTATATAACACTGAGAAATTGGTCAGGATAAGGATTTTGGATGGGCCGGGGGGGGGGGATATGAAAAGTGGTTCTGCACTTGATGTACAGGCGAATTCCCTTCCCCATTCTCCCTCTTCACCTGCCTCCTTGCATGCCCTACTCCCAATCTTCTCATCACCCAACTGATATTCATCTCCCACTACCAATCTTCAACCACATCCTACACTTCCGGACTCGCTTCCACTCAATACTCACTTCTGGCCTTCAGTTCACTCAGTCCTCTTCACCCTTGTTTTGATGTGCATTGAAGGGTATCGAACCAGTGACTTGTATTGAAGGGCGTCGAGCCGGAGACGTGTATTGAAGCGTATATCGCCTATATGGAACCAGTGACCCAGAAGCCTATCACTTAACATCGAGCTGAGAACATGTATTAAAGTGCATCGCAAATTTCGCCCCGGTGAGGCTATTGAAGCCCATCACTAACATCAGTCGTGAGTGATGCACTTACTAGGCGTGACAACCAGAAATTGAGCCCTAACGCATTAGGACGACCATAACGTAATTCGATGTATTAAGTCATTATGTATCGACAGGAAGGAGGTTGGGGGGAGGGGACTCACCAGCCTGTGGTATCTGGCACCCCCATGCTCTCAAATATCATGTACTGTATATTTATAAATAGTAATATAATTAATATAAGTTATAGTACGCAAGTAATGGTGTTAAGTATGTATGTATATGCAAATTTATACAGTTGATAAAACACAGTTCAATCTCTGGTTTTCTAGAATGTTGAATAAACATTCTAGAAAACATATAGCATAGTGTCCAAGAATTAGATCACAACACACTTTAAGCTAAGCAATTTGTGCTTAATTTTAGTTGTGTTGTTGTTACCGATAGAGACGATTATAGAAGGCTGGAAACTCTTAAGGCATCTATTGTTATATTAATTCAGCACTTCACACTTCCGTTGGCTACCGGATTTATTATTAAGTGTTGGCTGTCAAATGGAGAAGTGTTCGACTTCGAGAATCGGTAACTGGCAACATGTAATAAACCTTTATCACAGCAGTTGTGCTTGACACATCCTCCTGGCGGTGTTATTTAACGTGTTGGTGACGGTGTTATGGCGGGATGTGAGGCGTGGTAGACCATGTCTTCTCTCACTCTGCTCAAGAAATGCCTCAAGCCTCTTATTGTACTCACAAAGTGTGGCGTGGTACTTACCTATCAGGGACCACGGAGGGAGTGAAGCCTAACTCGAGGGCCCCCGCCTACTAACATCGACTTCAGAATGGTCCAGGACGGACCGAAACGTCGTCGTCCTTTCACTTTCTAGTGTGTGGTCTGGTCAACATACTTCAGCCACGTTATTGTGACTCCTCGGCTGCATACTAGCATACCTCTTGCGTTATAATCGAACTATTCTGATGTTCGAATTCTTCGTCGAATCTGGCCTTAAAGTTGTGGATGGAGGAGGTTTCTACACCTTTCTTTACTGTATTCCACTTGTTGCCCACCCGTACTGGAAACAAGTATTGACTTACATTTTGTTTTCAATTAATACGCGGAAACTGCAAACGCAAATATGTCTTCTCGTCCTACTTTCTCTCAATCACAGTCTTGAAGAATCTTTCTACTTGCCCATCTTGTCAATTCCATTCATTATATTTTATGTTGTAATCATATTTTCCCTTCTGTTTCTTCTCTCTTGGGTTGTGAGCTCATAATTCCAGTAGCCTATCCTCATAGCCTAACCCTCTTAGCTCTGGCACTTATTTTGTTGCAAACCATTATACATTTTCAGTTTTGGTTTTTATGTTTCATAAGATGCAGATCGCATGCCAGTGCTGCATGTTCTAGTATTGGTCGAAAAAAAGGTTGTGTAGACTGCCTTGAAAGAGTTTAGGTTTCTAGACGATGTTTTAATGTGTTTGCCAGCGTCCTCTATGCTGCCGATGGTACCCTGTTTATGTGTGCCTCTTGTGTTAGTTTTGCAATCATATCCTCCACTCCCAAATCCTTCTATCTTTCACAATGTTGTAGTTGCATTCCCCTTATGGTGTAGATGCCTCCTGGTTTTCTCCGTTACCCATCTTCATTACCTTATCGTCTAAAGTGCCGAGTCCCGACCTATTTTCGTGTGTGTGTGTGTGTGTGTGTGTGTGTGTGTGTGTGTGTGTGTGTGTGTGTGTGTGTGTGTGTGTGTGTGTGTGTGTGTGTGTACTCATGTATACAAGTGCGTTTACGTAGGAAGGGGAGGAGGGGGGAATCGAAAACTCGAAGGTTCGATTCCGTCGTACGGCAGCAAGAGTTGCTAATTTCGAACATGATTCTTAACTAAATAGAAAATGAGTTATCAAGGAAGTAATTTAACTCGGCCGCCATCTTTCCCATCTGAGAAGATAACTAATTAACTTGATTTATGCGTCGGACTGCGAGCAACGGCGTCTGACTGTCAGGTTCAACACACCACCCAGTGTGTGTGTGTGTTCAACCTGACCTCCTGACCAGACAAGGAGGTCTGGTCAGAGACCGGGTCGCGGGAACACTGATCCTTGGGACCACCCCAAAGTAAATTAACAATACTTGGGGTAAATTGGTGTGGTTATAAGTAGCCTAGCTGATTGGTTTTGGTTAGTCTCTCAATGACCTGTCTGTGACCACGGCATTGTCTGTGCTGTCTGTCCTTGTGATGAGTGATAAAGATTAAGCCACCCAAGACGTGGCACGGGCATGAATAGCCCGTAATGTCCTTGTGTGTGTAATCACCTTGTGCTTGCGAGGGTTGAGCTTTGGTTCTTTGGTCCCGCAAGTGTGTGTTTGTCCCCCTCTTCTCCCCTCCCCCCCTCCCTGACAGCTCTACTTGTATCTCCGGTTGAGGAGGCAAGAGGAAGTGAGGTGGGTGGTGAAGGAAGTGAGGTGGGTGGTGAAGGAAGTGAGGTGGGTGGTGAAGGAAGTGAGGTGGGTGGTGGAGGAAGTGAGGTGGGTGGTGGAGGAAGTGAGGTGGGTGGCGAAGGAAGTGAGGTGGGTGGTGAAGGAAGTAAAGTGGGTGGTGAAGGAAGTGAGGTGGGTGGTGAAGGAAGTGAAGTGGGTGGTGAAGGAAGCGAGGTGGGTGGCGAAGGAAGAGATGGCAGCAGCAGCAGGCACTGCTACAAGCCAGTAACGATTTCCAATAAGGTGAAGTCAATACAAATTTTCGAGGATATAAGATCAAAATGCCGTGGGAGAAATATGCTGTGGGAGGAAGATTCTGTGGGGGAAATATGCTGTGGGGGAAAGATGATTTTGTGTAATCTTGTCCCTGCCACAACAATCGGTCTAATGAATACGGGGTTGTTACTGTCTAGTTATGAAATACGAGTCGATAATACGGACGGTGGACAATCTCCAAGACAAATGAGGACAAAAACATCTTCTAATGAGTGTGATTACTGAAATTGGTCGCTATAATAGTCACGGGCCGACAACATGCGATGCTGTTACTATTATTTTGTCTTTGATTTTCCATATCCATTATATTTTTAATGCATTGGATTAGATAGTCTTTCCCATAGTTCCAACAACCCATTGGGATAAATATCCAAGAGTGGCGTTGGTTCGACGTTAATTCAACAGTGTCGACGTTGAATTGGCACTGTTCTTGGATATTGTGCCCACTGAGTAGTGTAATTGCCTGCTATAGCAGTTAGTGTGTTCAGTTGTATGGCATTGTGACCTGAATGTGTTTTAAAGGTCCCGGTAGTACAGTCGGGTTCGTTCTAGATGCACAATCGAGAATTCCGGGGTCGAATCCTGGACGGGACAGAAATGGTTGGGCACATTTCCTTTCACCTAATAGCTCTGTTCACCTAGCAGTGAGTAGGTACTCAGGGAGTTAGTTAGCTTGTTGTGGGGTTTCATCCTCAGCGGGGTCTGTAATTCGGCCTTGGTGGGGGGGGGGGACCTCGATAAAAGCCAAACGTGTATGCATACACTGGCTTTCTGTCCCCCCAACGGGAGACATCTCCCGTCACGCAGGGTGCAGTCGCACCTCCACAGATCTCCAGTATCAGCTTTTGATACTGGTAATGGCTCAAATGGGCCACCATTTACGGGCTATTCATGCCCGTGCCACCTTTTGGGTGGCTTAATCTTCATCAATCAATCATCTGTCCCCCCGACACTCTTGTGGGTTGCATCACGGAGGTCAGTAGCTGGCCTAGGAAGACTTTGATAAGCCTAAGTACAGGCTTATTTTGTGTCCTTTATACCCTTCTCCGAAGCTAAAATGCACGTTATAGCACCTTGAATTGTTTGCTTATGTTCCCTGAATTCAGGAAAGTATCTGTAACATAATCAAACTATAAAAGGGAGCCAAGAATTATCATAGCAGCAGGAGGGTTAAGACAACTTAAAGCCGTTTCATAGCACTTTGAATGATGCTACTGAATTGTTATTGTTTCGAGGGGTTTCCTAAATAATTCAGCAAGTATAGCACTAATGGGAAGAGTCCGTCAACGTGTCAAATCGATGACAACAAAATTGAGAGCCAAAGCAGGTGTAATTGTCATGAAATTGTTGCGGATGGTTGATGTAGATACATATGTACCAGTAAAAATACTGGTGCTGACTTAAATTCACATGTAAACACTCAAATCCACATTTAAGCAATCACTCAAATCCACATGTAATCAAATACATAACTTCAGTGCAATGGGGCCTATTACTTTATTGATATAATAATCACATAATAATAATAATAATAATAATAATAACAATAATGATAATAATAATAATAAAGCAGCAACTTCCTACAACAGAGTACAGAAGATAATAAGTAGAGAAAGAAAATGTGCTGAGCAGAGATAGACAATTTCCTTACGACCAACAAACAGTAATAAGTGGAGCCAAAATGTGTGAATTGAGCTCTGATAAGTCAGCCCCTCCTCATCATCAAAGGCCAAATATTCATTCCATACAATCGTCAAGCCTCCCTGTTTATTAATGAAAAATGTGTTACACGACTCACAACTAGTAACATTCAAACATTTCTTAAACAATGCTTTGCTGGTGACCTCTTTTTCAAATCACAACTCTGTAAATGCTTCACACACATACTACAAATGCAAATAATTGTCAACAGAACTTAAACATCTAACCCAACCTATGCCTAAATATGCACAATATGCTAATACAAAGTAAAATTAACTTTGAGAATATTCTTATTTTGAATGAACAGCATGTAAAATTTATGAATGGGTCTTTGGGGCCGGCCGCTGGATGGAATAAACATAGCCTGAGGATGGGTTGGATAAGTGTAAACACAAACTTGTGAATGTTGATAAAATAAGTGCAACCGACTTTTGAGGGAAGACCAATATAATGAGATCACGTGACGGAACGATGAGCCACTAACCAGCTAGCCATGGGGACAGTACTAGGCTGCCAGGCAGAAAACAGTGGGGCCACCCCTGGGCCTCTTGCTGCTGATGCTCCAGAAGGTGAGGGATTAACACTAACATATAAATTGAGAAAACTGCAAAAGGCTCACAATAAAAGCACAAGAATGCAAGAAAATATTGAGGGCCCTACAATGGGATCAAACCTGCACCCATGGACTCCCCAGGCACATGAAGCATACAGACTGTGCCTGTGACATCCAGGGATGCACTTGATCCCATTGTATGCCCTCAGTATTTTCTCCGGGTCTATTAGCCAATTAGAGACAGTTTTTATTTATATCTAACCAAACTCATATACAGTATGTCAAACCACATTTTAAACAATGTACAGTAGTGATGCCATGTCTATTTCACTGCTTGGTAATTTATTCTGTACAGTAAATCAATTACTATTTACAAGTCAGTATAATCTTATCCAATTTGTATCTAATGCTCTGTGTTCTATTTTGTGATGATATATTTAGCATTTTATTAATATTCACATTGTTAGACTCGTTTTATTCATCTGTATACTTTAATGATATCACCCTCTACTCTTTGCTTTTCTAGAGAATTTAAATTATGCTTTCTTAATCTCTCTTCATAAGGAAGATTTCTAATTTTGGGATTAACTTTGTTGTCCTTCTCTGTACACGGTCCAGTGAATGTCTATTCTATAGTACAGTAACCAAACTGATCTGTGTAATCTAAATGAGACCTAACATGTGAAAGTTAAACTGAACAACTACATTATTTGTCTTATCACTAATGCTTCCAGATATGCATCCAAGTATCCTATTTATCTTATTTCACATATTTATACTGTACATTAATTTCTTGACTAATAAATCCCTAATAATACAGAGTTTTTTCCACATTCAGATTTTAAAAATTTAACATTGCCCAACTGATATCTGGTAACTGTGTTGTTATTATCCTGGCTCAGAATTACCCGGTATACACTTGTCACCATTAACTCTTACACTGCTACAATTGCCATATGCGATTTTTTCCCCATTTGATTTAACTATTTTTAATTTTATGCACTTCTATGTAGTACTTTTAAATAGCTGTGCGGTTAGACTGCATCTGCTGCCTTTTTGTACATTTTAAATGCCTAATTAAATTATCTTGAAGTGATTTTGGACTTTCATATGTACAGTACAGTATGTCCATTACTTTTTTGTTTTGTTTGCAAAAGCTGCTGTTTAATCCTGTGTCTAAATAATTTATATGTATAGTATATAACAAATATCACAGGACAAAGCCTTGGAGCACTCCATTTACAATGGAGTTCCACTTGGACTTCATTCATCCACTAACCACCTCACTCATCCTTTTCCCTAACAACCTACTCACTCATCCATCTTATATTCATCTACTCACTTATCCACACACTACATGCCAAAGGATTATTTGACTTTCTGCAGTTTCCTTTACTCTAATGTTTGCTTGTACTTACCTTGGGGGAATGGGGGACTTTCAACAAGCAGCTAGCTTCCTTTTCTCGTTGAGGCCACTAGTGTTATTGGCTCTGTTATTGGCTCTCAGGTAAACTCGGGTAAACTTAGATGCTTTTCCTGGCTGTGAAATTTTAGCAGCACAGTGGTCTGTGTCTTTGACTTGCATTCGAGAGACCTGGATTCAATCCCCAGGTAAATGAATGGTTTTACACACTTCTTTTCACCTTATGCCTGTGTTCACCTACCAGTAAATATAGCTATCTCAGAGTTAGATAATTGTTATGGGTTGCATCCTGGGGAAGGTCAGTAGTTGGTTTAGGCCTAGGGAAACCTCGATAACCCTAATTACAGTGGAACCTCTATATTTGTCATTACTCTGTTCCTGAGGGCTTGACAAATATGGAAACTGATGAATACGGAAACCACTTTTCCCATAAAAATAATTGAAATTCAATCTGTTCCCAGTCTCCCAAAAAGTACATACAGTAAATATAAATTTAGCTGAAAATTTATCTTTACTGAACTGAGGAGAGATAATGGTAGAAGCACATGAGGAGGAAAGAAATTACTACAGTATTTAGAAGGAGGGGTCTCCTTCCATTAAAACATCAGGTAACTCCAATTCTGGTGATCATTGTTGTTTTATTCCCTTTGCTGATGATTCACCAGCTCACTACCGAGCAAAGATTGACTACAGCAATGTTTGGGTGCCGCTTTCCGACCATATTCTGGATTTTGACCCAACTGGTCAGCATTTCCTTAATGCCAACAGTAAGGATGGTGACAAATATGGAAAATGATGACAAATACGGAAGCATTTTTTGGTTATCGAAACATGACGAATATCAAATCCAACAAATATAGAGGTTCCGCTATACAGGGTTCCTGTCGCTGAGAAATAGAAGTTAAATACAGATTTTTTTAATGGTACAGTACATCCCTTTGAGACAGCTAATGTATTTGCTTCTCTGTAATCTAAAGGAACAGGTTGGATGAAGCGCAAAAGAGGTCCTCGTCACACTCGTGTGATTTCTATATCCCTGAATAGTGAGTTACACTGAACAAATTCCTTTGCACTGTAACAGCACCTCATTATTTTGAACACTCATTATGATTGTTTTTTAAGTTAGGTCTGCACTTCCCACATACAGTACATTTGCATGAACTCTTGCCGTATGATTCCATCAATCATAGTCCATTGTTATCCATTCCATCACATTTTCCATTGTATCTTCCACCAATTACAGTCCACTGTCATATTTCCTGTTGTGTCTTCCATCAGTCAGAGTCTATTGTCATCCTTCCAGTAGTATCTTCTACCAATCAGTCTAAACATCCATCTGATAGCATCTTCCACCAACCACAGTGCAGTCACTAGCACAGTAACCTCATTCATGGAAACCTCATTATCTCCTATCTCATCCCCTTCTTCTTCCCCAACCTCTGACCACATCTCAATATTTTTACCATTTGACCACTATCACAACTTTTTTTTTTTTTTTTACACGCAGGTGAGTACAGAAGCAGACTACTTACGACTCCTGTTAGCAGACTGATAACTTTTCTTTCCCATAGTTCATGTTATGCTTTACCCACTAATTTTTCCATGGAACACGAACCCCCACCAATCGATTAACAACCAGTCCACAATTAATGCAGGGTAAACGGGCGAAGAGTTACGAATTGGCACCCATTCAATCCTCCCTGGCTGAGACTCATACCTGTACCAAATTGCTCACGAGGCATGGGCAAGAGAATTAATTCTTTGCCACCAGAGATTAATCTCCAAGCAAGATGAATGATTGGGAATTTTTCCTTTCACTTGATGTGTCTATTCATCTAGCAGTAAATAGTTACCCTGCAGTTAGGCATTTATTGTGGGTTGCATCCTAAGAAATGTCAATACAGTAGTTGGCCTAAATGGACCTCGATAAGCCTAAGTACAGGCTTCCGGTTCCTGGCAATGGGAATATTGACAGGCCCAAAGATCATGTTGAGATTATAGTGCCTGCAGACTTTTCTGTCAGCCACTCCCTTACAGAGTTTTCCAATGGTAACAAGGCATCACACCTATAAGGTAGTAGAAGTAAAAATTTGTTGTGTGATTTCGTCTCGGCATTACAGGTAGGCGCCTCATGTCATCACAAATTGAACTTGTGAGACTTCTTTTCTGCTGAATTTGTAATCCCTGCTTTAATACACGTTTACCATTCAGTGTGGAGCCTTTCAACATCTTGACAATGCTTGTATGACATTGTTTATAAAATGTTCCACTGTACCATTTGCTGTTTCTGGAAGGACTCCTCATGGTGGATCCCTGGAGTTAGCTGCCTGGTTAACTCCACGAAGCCACTGAGAGGACGCACCAGAATGAAGAGTTTTATTGCCTTCAATTCTGGATTTCTGGGAGGATTCGTGTTGTTGGCTCCTTGAGTTATCAAGCAGCAAGATCCAGGGAACCACTAAGTGGACCCACCAGAATTAGATGTTTCAGTACTTTCAACAATAAACTTTATTGTTTAAAATGCTATAATAAGAGTTTCCTTAATTATTATTAAATTAATGTAAACTTGTTATATTTACCCTGTGCAAATCTCATCATTCTGTTTTTATTCAAGATGTTTTGCTGGTTAATGCCTCACCACTAGTTGTTAGCTATAAGTTTGTAAAGTTTTATTTATAATAATAATAATAATTTTAATAATAATAATTTTACTTAAACAGTATACATAATATAATGATACAGTGGTTTATCAGTACAGTAGGTATAAAAAATATATATTAATAAAGCCAATATGTAAAGCGTTTCTGAAAGCTTAAAATAAACTTAACAAATTAAAACAATTCAGCTAAATCACTTATAGTTTTATGGGGTAAACACTTAGTTCTGAAATTAAGAATAAATAAAAATAAAATGAATAAATAAATAAAGCCAACTATAATAACAATCACTAAATTGTCAGGAAAGCTAATACAGTAGATGTGCTGTTGCAGGAAATCCTCGGAACAAGACAGCTCTGAAGCCAGGTCGTAGTTTGATGGACTGGGTTAAGCTGGGTCACTCTGGAACTGACCTAGCAGGCACCGGTGGACGAATTTTGGATATAACTCCACAAGATCTCGCTAAACACAACAAACAAAATGACTGCTGGATGGCACTCAGGGGTGAGTTGTGTGTTATAAATAATAGGAAGTAGGGTAGGATCCTGTAGCACAGAGGTTTATGTCCTCGGCTCCCAATCCAGGGACCTGGATTCAATCCCGGACAGGACAGAAACAGTTGGGCACGTTAATGTGTGACTGAGAGGTCTTCAGGGGGACGATTTCTGATATTAGAGACCAGCAACCCAATATTGTAACCACTTCTAGTTGTACAATTATCAGTGAATCAATACTGTACTGTGCTACAGTACAGTATTATTATTGTACTGTACAGGTATTAGTATTATTGTATTACAGTACTATTATTATTATTATTATTATTACATTAAAGTACTATCATAATTATTATTGTTATTTCAGGTAAAGTATATAATGTCACTTCATATATGGAATTTCACCCAGGAGGAGAACAAGAGCTCATGCGAGGAGTTGGCACTGATGCCACTGATCTTTTCAATGAGGTGAGCATCTAAATAAAATTTTAATTGGATTAAGTATTCCACAAGAATTTTCTCAGGCATTGTGTTTGACATTTATTTTCAGTTAAAGAAATTGGGGATCGCGTTGAACGAAACATAACTTTCTGGGCGGACTCTCGGCTGGTTCCCTAACAAAAGGCTAAGAATCTAAGAATCCTTTGTTAGGGGCTCTCAGCTGGTTCCCTATCAAAAGCTAGAATTCACCCAGGATGCTGTCAATATGCCAGGTTCTAGTCGAGTTTTAACTCCACCGTAACATAGCACTTTACAAATAAAATAAATGGTTTTGCTTCATTGTTTATGGGCAGGGAGACAGTGGGAAGTTTATCTCATTCTGCCACATGAGGTTGTTTGCTGTGAGAAACAAATGTTATAAAAAATATTGAGGATGTATATTGGGTTCAAACCAGTATTCCATTGGGAAGGGTGGAGGTTCAGGGACATGAGTTCATTCCCATTGTACGCCAGATTGCTTATATGGGGTGTAGAGGGATTTGTTTATTCTTTCAGCTCATAGTAGACAGACTTATTAATGACAACACTTATAAAGACAACTTTATAAGGGTTCCAGGATGGGCTGAAATGTCATTACAGTACTTAATTTTCATTTCACGTGTATGGGTTGGATGTAACCAGGTACCCATTCACTGCTTGTCCAGTGAATGGGTACGTATTTATTATTAAGAATTGTTATTATTAAGTATTATTAAGTATTGTCCAGTGAATAAGCCAGGTACCCATTCACGAATATTATCGAACAGAGGCGTGCAGTTAAGGATTGGGGACTAGTCAATCCTCCCCGGCCAGGATACAAACCCAGGCCAAATCGCTTGCAAAACGCCGGGCAAGTGTCTTACCACTGCAGCATGGGGACTGCTAAGAACCAATGTTGAAAACATTGATCCAGTGTTGATTAAATGCTAGTCAAGCATGTTTTTACCCATTTGGAATGTACCCAACTCTTGTTCGCGGTACTGAATCTTACTTTTAGGAAACAAAACAAATTTAGACATTTTGTACGAGTTGTTGTTATTTTTATTTTTTTCAGATTCACAAATGGGTTAACTTTGAGACAATGCTTCAGAAGTGTCTTGTTGGGCGCTTAGTTGAGAGTCGCCCCTTTTTCCTCAAACCAAATTTTTTGCCCCTTCTTAAAGGAATAAAAGGCTCTATTAAATCAGGTATGTTTAAGAATGCTCTATTTTTTCAGTTAATATTGAAAGTCATTATTAGGTTATTTTGTTATAGTTTTTCAGTATTGTATGTGGATACTTCACTTTGAACTAATAATGGTCTCTTGTACTGTAAATTATGCCTTTGCATTTACAGCACTTAGTATTCCTCTTGGTAATCCAAAACTCATTTTTAGATTGTGCACTTTTTCTTAATTACGGTACTTCAAATATCATTGCCTAAGGTGTGATCTTTAAAGATATTACATCAAATTCTAGATCTGCCAGTTATTACATAGGCCTATATATTAAAATACAATGCTTGTGTTAAATTGTTGACGAGTTGCATCAGCATGTAAGCATATAGAGAAAGTTGTTTGTATGGAAATTTGAAGCAATGGGAAGAGGTGAAAGAAAGAATTGTATTTTTTAGAATAGCATGATGAATAAAAATGGACTGTTGCTGCATCTTATATACAATATTAAAGGTTACCATTGTTCTGGGGAGTAGGAATCCCTCAACTGTAATTTATTCATTGTAATATTTCTCTGGGAACCATGGTGTGGACCCCAGGGTTAACCCTAACTTTACACACCACCAACAAATATGGACGAGATAATCAAGTCAGCAGCTCAGGCAAGAACTGGGTATATTGAAACAAATTAATATTAATTCTATATTGTACATGTAATGCAATACTCTATTCTTTTAAAATATATTAATTATTAGTCATTCAATTTCTCATTTGCTTGTGATAATTTTTACTTAATTGTGTTAAATACAGGGCTATAAATTTTTCAGATGCTGCCCAAAATCCCCTGCCTAATAAGAACTTGCTGTCAGCCTCAACATTAGAACCACCTATGACTAGAAATGCAATATCTCCATTAGTATCTCCCCTCACTCCATCAACTCTACCTAATCCAAAATTTGACTGGTTTCAAACAAACACATTGATTAATATTGCCATCTATACAAAATGGAAACACATTACGAAGGACCATGTTGTTGTAATTAAAAAAGAAAAGGTTAGTAGATACATATGATTAGATGTGCCAGTGTCAGGGACATATAGATACTGTACAGTGAGAAAATATTGACGCAGTACAATAGGATTTAACCCACGTACCTGGCTTCCCCATGTATACACTCCCGGGAGTCCTGGAGTGTCATTTTGTGTTTTTCGAGGGATGAGAATTTATGGCAGAGGGTTACATTTTTAATACTTGAGATCTGCATGGTTCTATTCAATTTGAAGACAAGTATTTTACTATGAATGTTATGAATTCAGTAATTTCATCTATATAAAGACTGTTTATTGGGTATTTCTCAAACAAGTCAGTTATGTGCCAAATTGAGGAATAATGGTGATAAAAGATGAGGTAATTATATGGTACTGTGAGGAAGAATGTACGAGTTGTAAGCATTAGGGGCACTGAAGTATATACAGTATAGTGGTCTATGTTCCTGACCCCAAACCTGGGATCGTGAGGAACCCAGGTTTGATCCCCCGGGCAGGACAGAAATGGTTAGGCACATTTCCTTTCACCTGATCTCTTATGTTTACCTTGCAGTAAATAGGTGTCCAGGAGTTAGGCAACTTGTGGATTGTATCCTGGGAAAGATCAGTATTTTGACCTAGGGAGACCTTGATGTTGGCCTGGGTACAGACTTCCTATCCCTGATAACAGGAATTACATGCAGGTATCTTTACCTTATACCAGACCATGATGCTTCACCAAAGAAGGGCTATGCCACAGTTTCCTAATACAACTCACTTAATATATATAAACAATTAAGCTTACAACAAGCAAATAAACTTGGGAGTCAGTTTGTGTAGTGATTTTTAAAACGCTTCTTGCAGTGATAATGCCTTTCGAGCAAAACATACGTGAATGACATTTATCAATGTCGGATCAATGTTTTCAGTGTCGATTCATTGTTACATTAACAACTTTTTCCCAAATTTTCCCAGTGGATTTCTTAATAACTTGGCCATGATTGACAATAAGCACCAAGTATACTTTCCTGCTGCTGATTACATTTACAGTGTAGATACTGTATTGTACATTATGCAGTACATGGATTCCATAAGACTATATTATAATACTGTACATATCAGTGAACTGTAAAAAAATATATTTATTCATATCAGATTATTAATAATAATTTTCTGTTAATACAACTGTGTAAATAAAAGTTTAAATGTTAATTCATAATTTCTTACCAGGTGATGAAGGTAGTGTGCTACATCCAAGACATGGTCTACACAGTACACATTGATCTCCATAAACACGTTGCTGAAGATTTTGAATTGAAAACGGGAAGTAATTCGGGTAAAGTGGATATACTCCTGAATAAGATGGAGCCAGGAGTGCGGTGGAGTGTTGTCGGAAAGACTTTAGAGGGACATGGCATTCACGTCAAGTCAAAGGATAGAGAGGTAGTGTATTACTTGTTGGTCTGTCAATTTTATTCCAACCAGTTGAGAATTTTCATTATCTTTGTGTCTATGCTCTTGACTCAATTGAGGGACCTGGAAAAATATAAAAGATACGGAAGGAAATGCAGAATAGAACCAACGACAAATAGAGGTGCCATACACACAATCTGAGAGCACTGCATGAACATCAGAAGTCCATGGCTGTTCAATACTCTCCCAGCAAGCATTAGAAATATTGCTGGAAAAAAGGTGGACTACTTCAAAAAGCAATTAGATAGGTTCCTGCAAGAAGTGCTGGATAAACCGTGTTGTAGTAGATATGTGGGCCTGCGGGCCACTCCAAGCAATAACCTGTTGGACCAAGTTATCAGAAGTCAAGCCTGGCCCCAGGCTGGGCTTGGGGAATGGAACTAAAAAAACTCTCTCTTAAATATGCACCGGTGTTCAGTCCCCAGGCAGGACAAATGCTTGGTCACATCTCTTTTCATCTAATACTTCTGTTCACATAGCAGTAAAATGGGTACCCTGGAGTTAGGCAAATGTTATGGGTTTCATCCTGGGGAAAATCAGTGATTGATCTTGGGGATCTCTATAAGCCTAAGTACTGTATAAGCTTCCTGTCCCTGATTATAGGAATTATATACTTGTATGTATTTGATGTTCATGAAGAGTTTTTCTGGTTTCCTATTATTAAGGACAGGAAGCCTGTTAGGCTTATTGAGATCCCACTTAGCTAACGGAATGGCCTTCCCCAGGATGGGACTTTTCATCGGCTCCTCATGGTGAGCTTTACCGACTATGATCGGTTGTGTTCCACAGAAATAATCAGTAAACAAGGTACTCATTTACTGCTGGGGGAACAGGAGGTAAACAGTTATGGATTGATGCCCAGACAATTTTAACTGGCCAAGACTCAAACTTAGACCAAATCACTCGTGAGGCAAAGGGCGAATGTGCCACCACTGTGCCACCAAGGATTGTTGAGCAGAATGGAATTCATTGTCAGAAATTAGTGTGAATGGAGAAGTGCTATGTGTTATTCCTTTGAAGATCTGGAGTATTTGAATGATAAATTGCTTATAAAGTTACCTCATGATTCATTTTACAAGCTACAGAAGCAGTTGAAATGTTTGTCTTTTTCAAGAATACAGTACAGTATTGTCTTTTTTATAGTGTGATTTGATTACAATGAAAACTAAATAAGGCAAATTTGTGATTATAATACTAGAGTTATGACATTCTTTTCCAGATTGAATATGTTACCTGTTCTTTGGCTGCTAAAGAATCAATAACTCAAGATTCTCGATTATTTGTTATACAAGTGCCTAAATACACATACCTACCTGTGCCTATTGGATATCATGTTTACATTCGGTTACCTGGGAAAGGTGAGTACAATTATTTTTCTTTTTACATTTGCTGTATCTGTATTTTGCTGAAGATCTCCATACAGCATAAAAATTATGTATATTTTCTAAGCTGTCACATTTGGCTGTCTCCTAAGATAAGATCAGGGTCAACAGGACAGGATGATGCATAGTAAGCCAGGATGACATTCTGGCACTGGTGCCATAGGAGACTTGACCAAACCACACACTAGAAAGTAAAGCGACGACGACGTTTTGGTCTGTCCTGGACCATTCTCAAGTCGATTGTGAGAATATCTCACAATCGACTTTAGAATGGTCCAGGACGGACCAAAACATTGTCGTCCTTTCACTTTCTAGTGTGTGGGTTGGTCAACATATTTCAGCCACATTATTGTGACTCCTCGTTTGCCCATAGGAGAATTTTCAAGCAGTGCCTGCAGGGTCACAATTGGTTCTAAGGAGTTACTGCACAGTATCAGTCTTGCAACACACTGTTACAAGACCCAAGATTCGATGCGAGTCACGGACTTGCATCGAATCGTTGGGAAATTGCAATTTATTTTTCACGTGGACACTTAAGTGACATGAAATTTGCCATGTTTCATTTTCTACAGACACAGTAAAGCCATACACTCCAGTAGCCGCATCCTTGAGTACAGCAGACCCAGATGAATCTGGGAGACAAATACATCTTTTTATTAAGGCAAGTCATGACCTTTGATTTGTATTATGTTTTTGAATACAGTATTAATGGATTTTTACTCAATCTCTTCAGAATTGTGTTTAGTGTTTCTGAGCAATGGCCACTTGGTCACTTCTATATTCAGCATCTCGCTACATACATGCCATTGAAAACACCCTAGGCCAATGCGATTTTCTACCATCATTGCAGTAGAAGTCTTCTTTAAACTCACCTGCAAGAAGGAAGACTAGAAAAATCTCACTCCAGCCATGAATAACAATCAGGAAATATATTCCTCTACACTTCAAAACCTATTACACACAATAATTGATATCAAATATACTGTCTTCTAGTTCAGCACAGAAAAATTTGTTTTTTTTTTTGTGGTCAATATTTCACACCTTGTTTTGGGTATTTTCCTTTGAGCAATCCTCTTTGGGTCCTTGCTTTGCTCTAGCAATAGGACACTGGCACTTAACTCCTTACTTTGGCAGAGTTCCTGGGCTTTTAGCTGTTGGTTTGTATGGTGATTATGTTTTTGTGTTGGGTCCGAGGTATTTTATAATCTTTGAAAGGCTGGTATCTCTGGGTTGGTGCAGTGTGGGAATCATTTCCATCCACTGGCTTTTTATTTACAAATCTGATTTCATTTGGTTTGATGGCTAGGTTTGGTTTACCTTACCCCATTGTTTACCATGCTCAGATTTCCCACCAGGTAAGTGAATTCCCTTGTCTGCAAGTCTGGGCCTCTGGATTGATCTCTCCAGTCCCATTCTGGTGTGGTTTCCATCATCTTTGCTCTCCTTCGTGGGAAGAGAATCTACTTTCGAGAATCGAGAATCGACCATTCGCAATCAACTTGAGAATGGTTCAGGACGGACCAAAACGTCGTCGTCCCTTCACTTTCTAGTGTGTGGTTTGGTCAACATATTTCAGCCACATTATTGTGACTCCTCGTCTGCTCTTGGGAAGGTTGTCATATATTTTTTTTTTTTTTTTTTTTTTTATCTTTTGTGTGTAACTTTACTTCACTACAGGAACATGGCACTGGAAGAATCCTGAATTTACCTGAGGGCCACACACACTCACTAGTGGCCACTAGTGAGAACAGGAAGTCAGTGGCTTGTCTAAGGTCCTCCTATTTGTCTTTCATCGAAAGGGTATGAGCTTTGAAAGAGAATATACAGCTTTACACCAGGCTACACTCCATAAAAAAATTACAGCCATTTTATCTAGCATATGAAACATTCAAACCAAACTAGCCCACCTAACTTATTAAAACCAATGTATAGAAATCATCAATCTTATGGCTCTGTAATTTTTACTAATACGTCGCATTTCAAATGGATTGGTTTATTAACCCCCCAAATAAAAAATTTAATGTATTTGGTGACAGTGCGGCTTGGGCATATGAAGTAAGTGAGCGAGTGAATACACGTACTGTATTTAACGAATATTTATCATAAAAAATGACAAACATGAGAGTTATCTATACAGTCACAGAATACTTTTTTTTTTTACAGTACTTTTGCTTTAGGCTTTGTCATGAAGAAGGATCAATTCTGGCTCTTAAGAATCAATTCTTGTAGAGTGAAACTTAGAATGGTTACCGATACTGGTTACGGATTTCTCTTTAGTTTTGGCAATTATTTTGTTGAGTGGTATAGCTAATAGAATGACACTGGAATGAAAGTTATCAATGGAATTTTAGGATAATTTTTATAGGAATCATTTCAGATATATGATGAAGGAGCTTTTACCCCAGCTCTGGATGAACTTGCCTTAGGTTCAGAAATAGAAGTGAGTCTACCAGAAGGAACATTTACACATGATAAACTGACAACAGCCACGACTACAGCCACAGATGTTGCACTGTTGGGTGCTGGCACTGGTATTACACCTATGATCAGGGTGATGTTGGAAGCCATCAAGAATGAGAAGTAAGTAGTCTCAAGTAATACCAGATAATACAGCCATTTAATCTCCATAGAATGACTTTACCCTGAAAGACGATTTTAATTCCTGCTGTTGGAGACAGAGCCTGTACAGTACTTGAGCTTATCGAGCCACTCCTCCCTCCCTCCCTTCCCCAGGTTAACTAATGACCTTTCCCAGGATGCAACCCACAAAAATTTCCTAACTCCTAGTGGCCTATTTACTGCTAAGGGAATGGAGACAACAGGTCAAAGAAACCATGACATTTGTTTCTGCCTCAGTTGGGAATCGAACCCTGGCCCTTTGGACTATGACTCATGTGCACTGTCTGCTCAACCCCAAGAACCTGTGTTATGTTGCCTGTGATTGGAGTCGAGCAAAGTCTTTGGGATATGACATATTTCGGGAAACAGGTGAAACACAGGATTATACTATAGATACATTATTTCCTTCAAAACAACTATTTATTTTTATTGTTTGGTTTGAAACCCAATATTAATTTTTATATTACTGTACTCTTGTATAATATTTAATACTTTTGGAAGTACAGTATAGTATACAGTAGATGCATTTTTTATACAGAATGTTTATTTTTTTTTTTTTTTTTGAGATATATACAAGAGTTGTTACATTCTTGTACAGCCACTAGTACGCGTAGCGTTTCGGGCAAGTCCTTAATCCTATGGTCCCTGGAATACGATCCCCTGCCGCGAAGAATCGTTTTTTCATCCAAGTACACATTTTACTGTTGCGTTAAACAGAGGCTACAGTTAAGGAATTGCGCCCAGTAAATCCTCCCCGGCCAGGATACGAACCCATGACATAGCGCTCGCGGAACGCCAGGCGAGTGTCTTACCACTACACCACAGAGACTGTGTATATCAGTCTGTGACTGTGATTTCTATATATAAATACTACTACACATATTATTTAGTCTTTGAATTCATAAGCAATTATTGTATTATTGTGTCCAAAAGTTATGGTTCTTGTGTCTGAAGGTTTTTGCAGTATGGTGAAACGTTCGAGTTTATACTTGATTACTATATTTGAAATTGTCTACCTCGAAAGGTATCTAATTTAGACCTTTCAAAGCTGCAGGTAAAGAAATGTAGCCTAGATGTACTGTATATCTATCATATTTCAAAGTTGAAATGAAACTACTGTACCTTTAGTGCCCTATTTTACACAACTATTTTCTGAAAATTATCAGAATCTTCCCTACTGAAAATTATCAGAATCTTCCTTACTCTACCCTACCCTATTGGCCAGAAACTATACCAAGTGAACTTTACACAGCTAAAAATCTCTTATCAAATGTATCTTGTATCTGGGAACTACATCACATTATCTTAATATACAACTTAGAGGTTCTGTACTGTATATTAATTTGGCCTTAGATACATGTATCTAGGAGCTCTTCTTTATAAATGTACTTTAGATGTTTGTGAGCTACAGTTTAGAAGCTTTAGTACTGTATATCAAATTCACCTTAGAAACCTAAAATCTAATTCAAATGCCAACAAGCAGTGTATTGTAATAAAGCAGTAATAAATCTTTTCTTTCAGGAAAGTTCATCTTATTCTTTTTAATAAAACTGAGGAAGATATACCATGGAAAGAAGAATTAGATAATTTAATGGAAGATCATTCCAGTTTATTGAAGGCAAGTTTATGTGATGTTTCTATGAGAAAATATTGGACTAACCATCACGGTGATATCACACACACCTTGTGCATACCATACAGTATATAAAACACCAAATTTTATCTCTTATTTTGGTTGGGCTAGGTTGGGTTTACTTAAAGAGTAGTGATGACAGAGTGGTGAACATTTTATGAGGTCTTAGACCCTATTACCACCAACTAGTTACTCTACTGTTAAGCCCCTCATGGTCCCGTTCGTGGTATGTGCGCCTGAGGCACTCTGGTATGTGGGTTCTGTCTAACCATTCGGCTTCAATATTTTCTTGATATATTATAATACGTGTGTGTCCTTGCTTTATGACACTGATGAGAAAAGGGGTAGTATATAAAACTCTATATATATAATTCCATCTTATTGAAGTTGTTTATATTTTTTAGGTGACACATGTTTTATCGAAGGCTAATGATTCCTGGTCAGGTCTTCAAGGACATATACGGCAGGAATTGTTAGAGAAGCTACTGCCTGTGGGTAATCATGAGCAGACTATATACTTGTGCATCTGCGGGCCTTCCGAGTTTACAAAACTTGGCATCAAGTAAGTCACATTACATAGTAATAAAATGACTATGTTTAACCTGTTTACTATATATGAAAGAGATTTTGACTTCTCTTTACTAATACTGTAATGTTAATGGGTAATAAAGATGTCAATAAATTGTAAGGTTAGATTAATTTACTCTTTTGAAAGAGAGTATGTGTTAGATTTAGGAATTATTGTTAGAACCTAAACTATGAGAGAGAATATCTGTCTGTCTGCCCAAAGTTGGAGGTGAGACACATGGGGCTAGCCTCATTCACCTTTGTAGGGGAAATGGTCTGCAGTACGGGATGGACATAGGCTGGCCACAACCAGCCTAAGTTAAATACTTTACAAAAACATCAGCCTATATTCCCTCCCCCCCCCCCTCCTCCCAAAAGGGGTCAAGAATGTTTTAGACATCCAACCCACATACTTGGAAAAAAAAATGAAAGTGATGACATCTTGGTTCATCATGTACCCTTATTATTTCTAATGTTCATGCTAATTTCTAATATTTTTTTTACTTTTGCAGTTTGTTTAAGGAGCTTGGCTACAGCAGTGACAGCTTCCATGCATTCCTTGGTTAAAAGCTAGAAGGGTTAAGTTTCCATCAGGAACGTGATTCTGTACAACCTCAGGAAATTCTTAGCTTGCATAAAGTGATTGTTGGTGTTGGTGACTATGGATCAGAACTAATACAGTATTATATATTTTTTTTTTTGTGTTTGGTAACCAGTGACAATCAGAAATAAGAATATTATATATTTTATATTGAGTACTGTAATTGAAATTCCTATCTTATCTTCATCTGTCGTATCCAGTCAATAATGTTTAATTGTTCAACTTTCTGAAATATTTATTTACACATTTCCTCTCATTTAAAGATTATAAGTCTGCTTCACATGTCATCCCCACAAGTTTGACTGTCCAAAAATTGGTAGCACATGTATGTCAATTAAGTTCCTTGTCCCTCGTGTTCACTCGTATTATCATGTATGTGAGGATTTTTTGTACAATCAAACACTCTCTGCTATAACACACAGTATTTGATTATTATTTCATTTTGTGTGTGCATGTGCATCATGTGTGTAATGGAAAATTATTACAAATTATATTATAATTATTTTTTGTGTATTATTTTGAGGTATAATAATGTACTGTACTTTAGAATGTAAAAAATGTTTAATACATGACTGGGACAGCCTTTTCAAGTAATTTTTGGTCAAATGACTTGATATTTGCAGTGTGCTAACAAAAATATTCCGTTGAAATTTGTGTTCCAAAAACCAATACAATGATCCATTACTTCATTTTCCCCCCACTTTCATGGAGTGGGCAGACACCCACTCGGAGAAATAAATGGGGATAATATAGTACTGTACTGTCAATGAGTGGTATAATGCAATCAACAAATGCTACCAGTGAGAAGTGCCACAGTGTCAGTGAATGACTCTGTGCCACCAATGACGGCTCCTGTAGTACTTTCCCAGGAGTGACAAACTTGAAAATTAGGAGGTTGCTACATGTATAAACTGCATGTAAGTGTTTGGTATACATATGCAACAGATTATTTTGTAATTTGTGAGCATGTTAGATTATTTATGTTGTGCTAAAATATGTATATAATTGAGGAACAAAAGGTATAGTACTGTGACCAAAATACATGCCCAGTAAACTGTGAATTTAGGCTAAAATTGGGTAACGTTTCATTCTGTCCAGGACCATTATCAAGCCACCACCTGTGACAATGGTCCCAGGGCGGACGGAAATGATTTCTGGTTTGTCCTCAAATATAAGAGTTTATGCACGTTATTTATATAGAGTATTATAGTAATGAACATTGTCTTCAGTAAAAATTACTATATTTCAACCTGCCAATTAAATTTACACTTAATGAAGCTATCTGATGAATGTATTGTAGAATTCAAATTAAGTGTTTAAATATATTGTGGGGTATATTTTTCTTAGTAAATTAAGAACCATATTCTTAAGTAATTATCAAAAGAAAGCACCAAGCTGGGAAGACTATGTAACCATATTCTTAAATAAAATCAGTGTAATAAGATGTGTGGTCAAATTACATAGCAGATATTTTAAATCCTATACAGTATTACTTTGATGTGTACTTTCAGTTAAATTTGTTAGAT